TGAAGCAAATTGGAAATTTAACTCATAATTTCAACGGAATTTATATATTTTAGTCTTGCACAGTGTTTTTTCGAATGATTTTAATAATAATTGTTCTTCCGGTCCTACTAATTTCCATTCGAATTTTCTGATTTGTATGGTATTTATAACAATTACTGCTTGATGAAATCTAACAATTACCTAATACTTTCCTTGTTAGCTCTAGTGTTTTTAGCTTTAGTGTTTTTGGTCTATTTTTATATTCATATAAAACGAAGAGGCAGCCAATAACATTTCCAGTACATAGCGACAAGTAAAAATTTACCGAAATCGGAATCAATCGAATCTTAATATTATTTCTCCTTCGGATGAATAATAATAAATCTGTATTCAACGCCATTGCAATTGTGAAATAATGTTGCCCTTGATAATAAATAAATAACTTAATAAAATATTTTTGTACCTTTTCGGTGTGGTGTGATGGCTTTCATTCTTTTCAGTTTGGTGTAGAACGATTAAGTCGCAGGCTTTACCCAGTATTACGATGGATACAAGCACTCTTAGCGATATCAAGCATAAATATGCAATTAATATCAAAAGGAATGCTGGAAATCTGCAACATTTTTTTTATCCAATTTGCTTTATCGGCAGTATGATTTGAATGCTCGTGAATCCGATATTTATAATACTTAGGTATAAGTCAGCAAGCGATCGTGATCACATATTCACAAAAAAAGCAGCATTGAGTTCAATTTGCCATTACATCCTTTTTGTATTGCCCTTTTAGGTAGACGAACGAGCATACGGCCCACCTGATGGTGAACGGTTACCGTCGCTCATGAAAGTCAGCAATGCCAAGGATAGAGCCAAGCCGCTGCCTACCGTAAAGTAAAGTCTGTTATATTTTTGCATTATTAGTGGATATAAACAATTGATTACTTATTTCCCTAGTCGACGGGGACATGACGAATACCGATTTTGCTGTGTAAAACCCGTTTAAAACGAAATAACTCCCAGTATGTGCTCAATTCAGCCATATATTCAAGCAAAACAAAAGTAAAACATCTTTTAAAAAACCTGCCTATTGTAAACTACCTTAACCTAGCTAAGAATATTGTGGCTTCATTCATAATTACTCATTATCTATAGTACTACGTAAACGATCCAAGATTTGAATTTTTGTTTCCTATCATCTATCTATGATAATATCTATGATATCTGTTTTTCTATCTATTTTCTGTTTTTCTTTTTGTCGATGTTTTTTGCATTATAAAAACTTTAAGTGGGCATAAATTACACATATAGACTCTAAAAAAGCTATTAATTTTACAACTTACCACTTCTAATACATAAACTCGCACCAGTAGTAAAAATACTTTTTTTTTTGGATTGCTTTTACATGAACTACTCTGTGTTTGCGTGTGTACATTTTAAGGGTACATATTTCACTAAATGTATTTTATAATATTTACGGAGAGCCCCACTTTATTACAATCAGTGTGATCAAACGAATGAGACCCAAAAATGTATTAATGATATCGTGTAAGAACTGGACTGTCTTAATAGTCATAAATATTAGTGGTAGGGGGTCTTGTGAGTCCGCACGGGTAGGTACTACAACCCTGCCTATGTCTGCCGGCAGGAATGCGTTTGAAGGGTGGGGCAGCCGTCGTCCTCTAAAAACGGTAGCGGTGGGTGGCGGAATTTACAGTTTTGATGTCTATGGGCTCCGGTAATCACATTACACCAAGTGGGCAGTGAGCACGTCCGCCCCCAAAAAAAAAAAATCTTCTTCCTTTTCTCCACCTTATCCCACTAGGTGGGGTGCAAATTTTTCTATTCCATTCTCTTCTATCAGCCTGCATCACAACACTCACTTCTCACTCTCTTATATCGACATTCACACACTCCATCCATGTCTTCATAGGTCGACCTCTTCCACCTCTACCTTGCACTACCATTTCCATAAATCTGCTAGTCACATGCATCTTCTCTCTATGCATCATATGTCGATACCACGTTAACTGTTCTCTTTAATTTGGTAATTTACGGGGCTACTTTCACACTTCCTCTGAATTATAATTTATATGAATTATAATTTATTATACATATTTAATTATATATATATATATACCTAGTCAGGTCATAAATTCTGTCACATGTTTAATGTAAAATAATTGAAACAAGTTTATTCATTATGTAACTATTCATATACCAAAATAAACTTAACAAAACATATATTCTTATGACACTAAAGTTTATTCAAAATGACCTACGTGATTTTGAATACAGGCCTTCAATCTGCACAGCCAGTCGTCTATCGCAGCACGAACGAGGTCCATGTCAATATCGGCGGCTGCCTTAATCAAGGATGTCTTGAGTGACTCCAAATTGGGATGAGGCTTTGAGCACGCCTTTTCCTCCAAGTGTTGCCATATCTTGTAATCTAACGGATTCAAATCTGGACTGGAGGAGGGGCAGTCTTCGTGCCGGATGAAGTCGATTTCACGCGCCGCCAGCCAGTCTTGNTTGAATACACTTAACAGCTTTAGTATTAAATTTCCTATGGTAAAAGCACATTTGAAGCTTACCAGGCGTTTGTGAGCGTCGTCGCTGGTTTGAGAAATCCCGGGTCCTATTTCTACCGCGCTCTGCAGTAAGCACAGCAAGCTGACGCGTGACCTCATCCAGACGCCGTGTGATATCTTCTAACGAAGGGGGTGAGACTGCAGACGTGCATGCTGAGAAAACAGCAGATGAATGAGGTGCGACCATACCAGGCGAAACTTCCAAAATTTTGTTCGCTAGCTCAGCGACTTTGTCCAGCGAGAGTTCTGATTGGGCGGCCAAAATTGCTTGGAGATGTTGTGGGAGGCGACGCATCCATAGCTGGCGAAGCAAATTTTCATCAGTGAGGGTTTTTCCTGCCAACGATCTAAGATAACGTAAAAACTGCGAAGGACGGCGGTCACCCAACTCAACATCACTGACAAGTTGCCTGACACGTTGCTCCTCAGACGTGGACAACCTACGGATCAACTCGGATTTGAGGCGACCATATTTGTCCTCAGGTGATGGTTGGAGAATAATGTCCTCTACCTCCCCAATAACTCGGGTATCTAACTGAGCAATCACGTAGTTAAATTTAGTCCGGTCAGCGGAGATGCCTGAAATCGAGAACTGTGCCTCTACCTGAGCAAACCAAATTGCAGGTCGATCAGGCCAGAAGGGAGGAAGTTTTATGGCTACTCTGCATACTGAGGTAGGTTGAGGAAATAATGGGTCTGTGGGGGGTGGGTCCGTTTTATCGATGCCTTGCATTTTAAGTTTTTGTAATTCAGCCTTTAGGATGGCATTTTGTTCTTGTAACAGTGTATTTCCTTCTCTTACTAATTGTTCGTTTGCCTCCATTACAGAACTATACGTTTACAATTGTAATATATATTAAAAAAACTAAGCACTTATACAATGTAACAACTTAAAAAATAATAATAATAAGTAAAGAGGAAATTGAAAATTAATGATTATGGTAAAAGATGGCAAAATACTGACAATAAGAGACACAAAAAACCATGAAATAAAATTATAGTAAACAAGAAAATAGAAATTAGTCAAATACAGCTGATGTGATGTTAGCACCAACTTACATTTCGTGACTATTTACTCTAAAGCATTCATGTTGATAAAACCTAAAACTGTAATTATTTTGCCTCGTAAAAACAAATATTTCCTTACTACTAATCGTACAATAATACCTTAATATTATTATTAATTACAATGTTATACTATGAATTGGTGGAGCAATGAAGGCCCGTTGACAAAATATGATTAACTATTTTTACAAAAGGAACCTTTAAATTAAATTAAAATTTTGTTTTTGTTGTCTTTTGATGTCGACAAAGCTGTTGTATATGCACTTATGTAACAAAATTAAAGTTATAGTATAGGCGGAGAATATGAAAAAGTATTAAGATTAAAATAAAATAAAAAATATATAAAAACACTTCACTGAGTTAATCAGAAAACACCAAAAAAAAAGAAAATAAGTTCCGTGTTGTGGAATGCCGCACCAGGTGTACTTGATCACTCTGCTGTGCGCGGCGATGCTGCGCCAAGTGTATATGGTTTGTAGACGATCTTGCCTGAATGCTGCACCAGGTGTATATAATATGTACTCGACCTTGTCTGGATGCTGCGCCAGGTGTATATGGTTTGTACTCGATCTCTATTTGTAACGATCGATCACGTCGGGGTCACCAATGAGGGAGTTCGTATAGAGTCCCTTCTTTATTTCGCCTGGTTGTGTTTTATGTAATTAACATCACAGTTGGAACAATATAAACTTTATTGTTGTAGCGGCATAAAGTAATTACATTAAATTAGTTATTATCACATTATAAATTATTTTTATGTTTTTCATATTTGGCGGTAATTTTTTTTAAGGGATTTTATGACCTGGTAACTAGGACCTTTAAGTCATGTCTTATTTTAATTTATATTCATATTTTTATGAAAAATGATATTATGGAGTGAAATGAAATGAAGATGATTAATTTGAGACATTAATCAACTGGGATGAAATTAAATGAAATGAGATGATACGGGATGAAATGTAATCTCAGTAAAATGGTGGTCATTTACTAAGATTTTTTTCAGTGGACTTTTTGGAGGCTCCCGAGAAGTAACGTTCAGCGGATTTCTTTCATTTTCCGACATTTGTGCACTTTCACAGATATTAAAAAGTCAATAAACCACCGTTATTACACATTTAAATCTGAAGAAACACTAAATAGACAAAATAAAACAAATCACACAACTTCACTCCTCGCATTCCCGCCAAAAAGTCCTTTTGGCGGTAAAAAGGTATTGTGTCACACAGACTATATCCTTTTTCCCACATCTCGTGCGTTCCGGCTTACGCATAATAAAACGCCACAGGCTGTATTCCCGAAAAACTATCTAATAAAGATAATACATATTTTTTAAACTTTGATCTTGTTTTTATTTTCATGCCAAATTCTTCAACCAGGCAATATTGTGTTCTTGTTTGGAGTGAGCGGCTTTGCTTTGCTTTGTTGATGTCTATGGGCACCGGTTTCCTCTTCACACCAAGGGTGCGTGAACTCATTGACCGGTCTAAGCAATTAAAAAATATTTTTTTAGTATTACTTACTTCGTGCCTTTAATTCCTTCGTAATTGAAGTAGCTTAATCCAAAATTCTTGTTTGTTGGTAAACGACAAAAATTTAATTGAAGACTTGTAATTTTTAGTTTCGGTTTTAATACTTTAAGCCTAAAGCGCATACCTAAAGTTCAAGATATGCCGTTGATTTAAAAAAGACGGAAAGAGCATTTTATTCTTATGTAGGCTAAAATTTAAATTTAATTTTGAATTGTAAAGAAATAATTTTATAAACTGCTAGGATACATGTTTATAAGTAGCTCAAAGTGTAAAACTCATTTTCTTAAAATTTTTATTTAAATCATTTCAACTCTAGAGGTGCGACTTGTTATAATTCATTGTTTGATTTTTAGAAAATTATGACTTATTGATTTTGTTAAAAAAGTTATAAAAACTCACCTTTTACTCATAACATTGTATAGTATAGGATTAGTTGTAGCCGACAAATAATACAGGACACCTGTGAAAGCGTACAGAGGACCTTTTAGTCCCTCGCTAATTTTATAATTGACCAAGCGTTGAACGTGGAAGGGTGCCCAGCAAATGAAAAACGCTATTACTACTGCAGCTGTAATTAAAAGTAGAAATTATACTTAGTATTGGAAAAGAGTATGGGTAGTCCTCCCACAAGATCGACCGACGATCTATTAAGGTTCGCGGGTATCCACTGGATGCAGGCAGCGCAGGACCGATCTTTGTGGCGTGGCTTGGGGGAGGCTATGTCCAACAATGGACGTCTTTGGGCCGATAGAATAGAATTGGAACAGATTATAAAGCCCAAAAAATTACTGGCCCAAAATAAACGAAAAACATAGTTTATGTTATGTGGACGGTAGGCAGCGGCTTGGCTCTGCTGACATTACTGAAATCCATGGGCGACGGTAACCATTCACCATCAGGTGGGCCGTATAATCGTCTGCCTACAATAGCAATAAAAAATGTTAGGAGACTCCACAGACCCACATGGAATACTATGTGTGATCTTGCAATTACTACTTTAGCTAAAGTAAGTCACAATAGTACCTACACTTCATATTTATATTAATCTGTTTGATACATACACAATTAAGTTTACCGTATGCTCGTCTGTCTTCGTAGCGAAAAACATTACCTGTTTTAATTTTCGGGAATGCTTTCAACATGGCGCAAGACTTAAATTTTTTACTACCTTAGGGAGTTGTGTCATTTTAAAATATGACAACAGTAATATCGACTTCGTGAGTGACTGATAGACTCATAGTAGATAATTTCACAATAACATTCAAGAAAAAAATTCAAACTAAAAAAATTTAGATAAATTATATTTCTTCGTACTTTCAAAACATATTTATTAAATAAAGTACTCTTTCTGAATTTGCATATTATGCTAACAGTTTCTAAGTGAAATGGTTCTAACTCACAGACATATGAAACGTGACGAAATTTAAAGGTTTATGCTGTTGGTGTCATGTAAGTATATTTCTAAATGACGGAGGGCATTGACCGATCAGTGTGCTTTAGAGCGAGTTTTTTAACGTTCTCTATAGCGTAAAAATTAACTCAAATTTGTATGCAGTTGGAACAGCGCCCCTAGCGGCAAACGTAGGCAAACGTTCCAACTCCATACAAATTTGAGTTAACTTTTACGCTATCGAGAACGTTAAAAAACTCCCACTAAGCACACAGGTATGTCACTCAGTTATTGAATCATCAACACTATTATACGCTGGCTTCTCGATAGTTCGCTCACAGGTTGGAACAATAACAACATTCGGTCATCAGGCACGTAAAATAAATTGTTGAACAACAGCTGTAGTTAGTTAGTGAGTTAGTATTAATTATGTAGTATTCGAAGTTGTTGTGGCCTAAAGGATAAGTCACCCGGCTCATTCGTACTGAGCGATGAGAATACGCCGGCGTTCGAATCCTGCAGGCAGATACCAATTATTATAATGCAATACCTACGTACATAACACATGTTCACGAATGACTTCTACGATGAAGGAATGGCATCATGTAATTTAAATCATACCTGCAAAAATTATAGTTTGCGTAATTACTGATGGTAGGGTGCTTTTTTTTTATGATTGAAAGATTACTGGTGGCCCGGAGGCCTTTCCAGCTTCACCAGAACAGGTGGGCGAGCAAAGGTTCAGGGGTGTGATTTGCTAACAACTGCCCGAGCGCCTCCGAAGGAGACCTAACAACTCAAGAGCAGTTGCTTCGCGAATGAATCTACTACCGGATCGGAATCGCGACCCACTGAGAAGATCCGGCGAGAAACTCAGCGGGCTGATGCATGGGTTAGGTTGCACGTCGACCTCTTTGTCGAGTTCGACGAGTACGGTTACCGGGGTTCCTCAGCTTGCTCCTAGTGTTAGAGCTGAAGGTATCTAATGCAAGAGTTATTGGATCTGTTGGATCCGTAAGGACGTGTCTAGGGCGACGACGGTGACTTGCTCCTGCGTGATCAGGATTCGGGGAGGTAGGGTGCGTTGTGAGCCCGCACCGGTAGGTACCACCACCCTGTCTATTTCTGCCGTGAAACCGTAATGCGTTTCGGTTTGAAGGGTGGGGCAGCCGTTGTACTATAAAATTAAGACTTAGAACTCATGTCTCAATTCATGTGGCGGCATTCACGTTGTTGATGCGAATGGGTTCCGGTAACCATTTAATAGTAGGTGGGCCGTGAGCTCGTCCACCCATCTAAGCAATATAAAAAAGTAAAAAAAAATGTACTCACAGATGTGTCGATGTTTGTCACAATGGACATAATATATGTATATATCTTTAGAGCTTTATAAATTATAATTAATCGTTAAAATATCACGTTGTGATTATAGCTATATTTGTACTTACAATCTTGTTACTCTTGTTGATAAATAAAAGTTCAACCAAAATACAAATTAAAACTATTTAACACTTAGAACACTCACAGAACACTTAGATACACTTAATTCTTAAAACTTCTTCCGCTTCGCTTCATGTGATCTGTTCGCTGTTTCGTTTCGAGTAGGTCCGATTACTGCCTTTGTGACATCCTTGCAACGCTTTTATAGTCGATACGACATCTCTAGAATTGCCGAGAACATTCCTGACTAGTCGAGTATTTTCGATGTGCGTTCCTCCATTTGACAATAGATGGCGTTATACTTCTCGAGCGTTCTCGATTTTACTTCTTTTGATATCCGTTTCTGCTTTCTCTAGCTTCAAGCTCTTCTAACAATGATAGTCTTGAAATTCTGATTTAAGATTTCGGAGAAAATAGAATACGTGAAGACACAACTAAAAAGTAGTCTAGAAAATGGACATAAGTTGAAGTAAGTTGCCTCAAAACTAACTTAACTTGAATAACTCAATTTTATTTGATGTCTAGACTAATGTAACCGTAGGGAATTACATTTTGATGCTCATAGTAAATTTTATTGATGGATCTAGCAAAGCGTTCTATGAAAAATATTTGTATTTTTTGAAATATTTTATTATATTATAAAAAAAACCACCCTGTCTATTCTGTACATTTGCGTACGGTTCGAAAATTTGGAAATAACAGCCCGAACTGAGAAAATTATTACAAAAATTTCTAAAATTTAGATTACCTAAGAGAAATATCGATTAGTAAACTTTTTTCCATCAGTCATTGTTCACTTTTCATCAATAACTTTTCTTGAAAGTAACCCTTAAGTTTCTGAGTTTCGTAAGGATAAACTATTATAAATTCATTATTGTTCTGTACGTCTGGGGCTGAGTGAGACAGCCATTTTATTCGAACCTAATATACTTCGATTTGTACTACTTTTTACTTAACGAAATTTTAAGTAAAAAGTAGTAAAAATCGTTCAGTCGTTATAACGGAACATCCATAAAACCACTGTAGATTTATATATTAGTATAGATAGTATAGATTACCCACCAAGTACTTTCATTGCAGTCTTGTCTTGTTGCCCTCTATTCGCTCGACTTTTTAACGATTCGGCTGCTGATAATATTCTTGACCTGTACAACACAAGGCAGTAATTAATATGCTACACTTTTACAAGATGTTACAGGTTTATGAATGATCTTTCATCTGCGACTATTTGAAAGTGATTTCTTTTACTTTTATTGGCAGTGATTTACTGTCTTTACTTGTGAAAATCGCAACCAAACTGGAGTCATGATATTAGGGTTTTAACTGCTTTGGACCATAGCATTCTTCATTTCAAAGCAAAACCAAATATATTACTGCGGGGTAGAAATAGACATGATGGGGAAATCTTACCACAACTATATTTGTATACCTTAAGATTCTCTCTAGGAAATTTGTTGATTTAGAGAGTCGACGGGGAAGCTGAAATGTAGAATTAAATAGAGTACAGCAAAATCAATTTTTTAATTTATACCTCATAACCTTAGATGTACAGCCAGAAAAAAAAGCGGACTTCAAATAAATTATTCACCGTTTTCGTATGATTCTTTTTTTGTTCAGATGAACAAACAAAACATAATTTGGAGTTCTATTTTTGGACTGCCTTCGGCGATAAACTTCATCAGCGTAGTCAACACAACCAATATATTTTCAAATATATATAAATTCACACAAAAACTCAATCAAACTTTGAATATTAAATAAATAAAAAAAATTATTGCTTAGATAGGTGGACGAGCTCACAGTCCACCTGGTGTTAAGTGGTTACTGGAGCCCATAGTCATCTACGATGTAAGTGCGCTGCTCTTGCTAGGGTCAGTGTTAGCAACACTCCAGTTTGAGCCCCGTGAGCTCACCTACATGTTAGGGCGAAGCTGAAATAGCCTCTCAAGGCATAGGTAGGAAAAAATAGCTCATATACATCGTAACGTGAACGCTTCCACCTTGAGACACGATGTCCAAGTCTAAATTGTATCGTATAACGGCAATACCGCCCTTCAATCTAGATTCCAATTATTGTAAGTGGTAATCTTAGTGGGCGAATTATCATTCTAATCACTTCTAATCGCAGAGTGGTGTTGAGAGAGAATTTGATTACAGAATTTTCTAGACAAATTGAAATATAAGTATTTGAGTTCAGCTTCTCGTGGAATGAATACGAAATACTTAAATCAAGTGAATGAATCAAGAAAAAACTGATAAAGTATTTCTATTACTTGCATTGTCAGATTACAGTGCGAAAAACGGCACTTTCTGATAATGACAACAAAAAAAGCAATTGTAATGCCGTTGTTAAAGAATTTTGTTACTTGTTTATTACAAAATAGAAGTAATATAGTAAAAAGCGTTACTCTATTTTTTAAATTATCTATTTATTTTAATTATTTCTTATCCACACACATTTTCCCCCTTTTTGCAGACGCCATATTATTCTAATAATGTTTATGTCATTTTGTGGTTTTTCGAAGACAAAAATATAAATTCCGATCTACTTTTGAAAAAATCATATTATACAAACCAGTATGTACTTTTTTTAAAGGTTTAAAAAAATAAAGATTTTTTGTACTGTATTCCTCCGTAATAGATTTTACCATCAACTTATTAAATAAATAAAAACGTAGCTAGGTCGCATATGTAAAACCTACAGTTTTAATTGTTTAAATCGAGGGCATTTGATATTTTCTGGTATCAAAATATATGTACAGACAGTACGTTTTTCTAAAACTGAACACTATTGTTTCATCTGTATAATATGTTGCTAGTAAAATTACTTAGCATGAAATATTCTAAGTTATCAAGAAAAGAATACGGTTTACTAATTTTAAAATAAATGTAAAATTTAATGGGATTTACTTATCTAATAAACTAGATAGATATATTTAATTTTGTTCATCAATTTCGTCTAAGAATTTTCTCTTTCGAGAAAAAGTAGTAAATCAAAATTAATTACCATGAAAATTTGTTTGATTGCTAACATAATTTCAAAAGCTTGCTAGCTCCAACAAACTAAAACAAGACTCCATAAAACTAATTTACGTTTAAATTGAAACAAATACTGAATTGGACTCGTAAAATAGAGCAATAAAGATTTAACAAATTAGGTGCATTTTATACAATATATCGCAACAATTACAGCGAAGTGTTGCCAGATTTCACTATTGCTTTTTTTTTCTTAAATGAATGGACAACCGTACGGTTCACCCGGTGTTTAAGTGAATGGGAATGCTAGTTTAAGACACGATGTGCGATTAGTCCCAGATTATTCATTTATTTAATTAAATTGAACAAGAACAACTTACCTAATCGTCAAGGCAATTCTTGTATATGCAACAGCCAAAATAGTCATCGGTATAAAGAAGAAAGTTACAGAGATACCAGCTAAGTAGCTATGCAGATCTCGCTCGGTGGTTAACAAGCAAACACGCGAATACTCAGAGAACGTTAAAGAGTCTGAAATATTTGTTTAAAGACGATTAGTTCCTCATATGACTAAAACAGTTTCGCGGCTTGTTTTATATGGAATACGTAATATTCATGTTGACCACCAATGTGTACAAATGTCTATTCTTCAGTTTTCTCACTTTTATTGTGATTATATTCGACGCTTGAAACGCAAACATGACTAAGCTACAATAACTGCTTTGTACATAGGTAAATGATAGGCAATAATCATATTCGATGCGCAATAAAAATATATTTCTAGGTCTATTAAAATCATTTCAATCCTACAGCTACTAGCTAGATTCTGCTACAGCTAGATTCGTTAAAATAAATGTAGTTTTCAGGTATTTCAACTTTAAATTAGTCTCCTGTAAAGTTCACGCATTGTCGCTTAGTCACGTTTGCTTTTCAAGCGTCGTATTATTTTAGAAGCTTCGAATACTTTACGGTCAGACAAAGTAGCCCTAATTATGTAAACACTTTAGTTTATAGATTTATCGAGGACTCTTCAAATAACAGTGATGATGGAAGCACTGTCTGAAGCTCGGATTAAAAGATGAGCTTATGGCACACCTAATCAATATCTCAGTTGCATGTGCATACAGATCTCTTCGTGACATTAAAGATTTTTAAAACTCACCAGGCGGGAAAGGTATTTGTGGTTCAACGTGGTTTCCTATAGTTAGTTAAGGGTATTGCAAACACCACGCTGATTAGCCATATAATTAATATAGCAAATATAGCTCTTTTGAAGGCCGACAAAGCGCAGTTGTGAAACGGATGGCAAATGGCCACGTACCGTTCCATTGAGAACGCAACGACAGTGAGAACCGAAGCGTATGTTGTGCTGTAACAGAACAAAAAAAATTGGTATACTAGCTCAGTTCGGTGAGTTCGGTAGTATTTTTTATCATAGAAGGATGAAGCACTTCATGGTATACCTGACGTAAATCCAGCCAGCCATACACGCACAGATCTACCCGCCGGATTTGTCCGACAGACGTGCCTTTTTTTTTTAACGCTGGGGAATCCATTTACGGATACCCGGTCGAGGGGGGTAAGAGACCGGGTTATGTCGGACTCCGGCGCCTCCAGAGAAGAACAGGGAGAAGAAGAAGACAGGGGTCCTCCTCTTCTCCCAATTCCGACAGACGTGCCTGGCGGACAGATCCGTGCGTGTATGTCCAGCTATAGACTTCACAACGTGAATATCGCCATCGTCCTTGAGACATGAGTTCAAAGTGACAATGGTATTATGTAACGTCTTCCCACCTTACAAACTGGACGTTTCATTGCTTCGCGACAATAATATACAGATTGGTGATACTTTTTTCTACGTTGGGCCATCTATCTAATTTACAAATGGGGGATCGGGTCGGGCTATGTCAGACTGCAAGGCGACTGCTGAATATATCCCATCTATTACTCTTCTTCCGACCTTCGCCCGAGGCGGATTTCGGATCAGGGTAAGTAGGGGAGATTCCGCGGTCAACTCTATATGGTCCTGATACCTATCCGTCCAGGATCACTAATACATAGTTATGCAATTACTTTGCGTATTTTGATGTTTTTATTAAACATCTTTAATTATCTTTCATCCTTCACAGAATACGTAAAATAATTCGTAAGTGCATAGGCATAGTCGCATCATTCTGTACGCCGGTTGCAGACCGAAAACTAAGCTATGCCGAAGCTAAACTATGGGTTGTCAAAATCAGAATCTAGATGGTAGGCACGGTAAGGAAAGTAGCTGACATAGCCCATCTTTATAGTTTGGAGGCAGTTATACAACCTAAAACATGAGAATGAAGTCTCGGTTGCACTTCATAGCGTTTTTCCCACCCTTTAAGCTGAAACGTATGAGTCTTGCACGGTAAGAATAGACAGGTCTTTGGTACCCGCCCATAGGAATTGACAGTGCGTCTCGTGCATTAGAATTGTTTTTTTAATTTTTTTATTGCCTAGATGGGTGGACGAGCTCACAGTCCACCTGGTGTTAAGTGATTACTGGAGCCCATAAACACCTACAACGTAAATGCCGCCACCCACCTTGAGATATAAGTTCTAAGGTCTCAAGTATAGTTACAACGGCTGCCCCACCCTTTAAACCGAAACGCTTCACGGCAGAAGTAGGCGGGATGGTGGTACCTACCCGTGCGGACTCACAAGAGGTTCTACCACTAGTTGTTTTAATAATGAATCTTCACAACCCGTCTCTCACGATCATGTCGCAATTTTTTTATGATTTTTTTGTATTTTTTATAGGATATTCTATGTTTTAAATAATATTAATAAAATAATAACAACAATAAAGGACGGTGACTCACGTTTCACTAATGAACGCTCGTAACTTGCACACGGAGTTTCCGAATAAATCAGGATAAACGTGCCAGTAATACAACAGTTCTTGGGGTAAACCTGCGAAAACTTAATAGAGCCATTAATTTTTAAGACCTCCAAGCCTATTTTGAATCCATTTAAGTGAAATATAGGAAACTCTGTAAACCATAGGATCTACGAAATGGAAACGCCCTCTTTTCTATAATAAATGTTTGTTAAAAATATAACTAAGTAAAACTAAATATAAATATGATTTTTGTGTCATCCGTTCATTATCAAAGATCTTCAAAAGTCAAAAAGTGGGAGAAAAGTATAATAAACTTATAATTGTACTCATTGATATAATTTTCAGTAACTTTATTCAACATGTTGCTCTGTGAACACAAAAATCACATTTAAAGTCTATTTTATAGTAAGTTCGTTCACAATCCTATGTAACAATTAATTTTAGATTCATATTTCTTTATCTCTGTCGCCTCTCTTTTATTGATATTGTTTATTAATAAGAACTGCTTTTCAAACAGCGAAGGCGCGGGATAGTTAACTTTTTTTTCGTACCTATTTGTTGATAGCCTAAGGGGCTATTCCAGCTACTCCCGAACAGATAAGTGAGCTCACGGGCTCAACCTGAGAGAATTTGCTAGCCCTAACGGCAAAGAGTTCGACGTGCAACCTAACTCATGCATCAGCCCGCCGAGTTTCTCGCCGGATCTTCTTAGTGGGTCGCGATTCTGATCCGGTAGTAGATTCATTCGCGAAGCATCTGCTCTTGAGTTGTTAGGTCTCGTTTGGAGGCGCTCGGGTAGCTGTAAGCAAATCCCACCGCTCCTGGCTGAGCCTTTTGCTCACCCATCTGTCCTGGCGAAATTGGAAAGGCCTCCGGGCTACCAGTAATCCGCTCCATTTCCAATCCAGTAATCACGCTCTTTTTACAATAAATTTATTTTCTATTTTTTAGTTGGACTTTCTATAAAAGCGGGATTTTTTTATTATTTTCATTTATTTATTTATTTATTTTACAAATATATATTCTTTATGTATCTCTGATTACTAGTCTACTATCATTTTTGGGTTATCTGCAAGAGTGTGTAGCCAATGACAACGGTAATCCTAATAGTTTTACTGGTGGTAGGACCTCTTGTGAGTCCGCACGGGTAGGTACCATCGCCCCGCCTATTTCTGCCGTGAAGCAGTTGTGCGTTTCGGTTTGAAGGGTGGGGCAGCCGTTGTGACTATACTGAGACCTTAGAACTATATCTCAAGGTGTGTGGCGCATTTACGTTGTACATGTCTATAGGCTCCAGTAACCTTAACACCAGGTGCGCTGTGAGCTCGTCCACACATCTTAGCAATAAAAAAAATAAAAAAATAGTATGTACCTTGTACAGAAATAAAATAAAAATAGAGTGAATTTAATATCAGATTCTAGGTTCGTGTCAGCTTTCTTATTTCTACGCAAGAACAATTCAAAAAGACGTCGTAAATTTTACCTTTTAAAGTGATATTTACGTTGGCGTGACACTTTTAAATAGACAACAAAAATAACTTCAATCTTAATTTACATTTGACTACAGAAGACTGGGCTTTCCTCTTGGGAATCGCCAGTCGGTTTTCTCAATTGACACAGGGTGAGTCGTCTAGACTTTGTAATTGATGTTTAGTCAAAACTTTTGAACGAATATACCTAAAGCCGTTTTCATACTCTTTTACTGGTGGTAGGACCTCTTGTGAGTCCGCACGGGTACCACCGCCCCGCCAATTTCTGCCGTGAAGCAGTAATGCGTTTCGGTTTGAAGGGTGGGGCAGCCGTTGTGACTATACTGAGACCTTAGAACTATATCTCAAGGTGTGTGGCGCATTTACGTTGTAGATGTCTATGGGCTCCAGTAACCATTTAACACCAGGTGGGCTGTGAGCTAGTCCACACATCTAAGCAATAAAAAAAAAAACACGTTGTCACAAAAACCTGATTTCCGAAAAAGAACCTCACTAGTTTTTGATAGATGATCATTTCCCTTATCTTCAGAACAAAGTTGCGTACAAACAACAGTAATATCTATCAGTTTATTTATTATGACCTGTCTGGAGATTGTGTGGCTTACAACTCTATGTACTCTATAATTCATGAGCCTATTGTTTATTACTGAGCTCCGGGTATTGCTGACTTCTACTATCTGACCACTCACCATCGGGTGGGCCGTATGCTCTACAAAAGCAACAGCAAAAAGCTTACAAAATATATCATCACATTTCATGGATACCGCGTATTTTGATTGGTTTTCATTTGTACGCGGACGTGTGAGCCCGGATTGAGATCGGCTTATGTAGATTAACGCTGTCTATTCTCGGATGGTACTTGAATATTTCTGTCCACTCCCGATATGCTTACTATCGTGAAAATCAAGAAGTAGCCGACGAGAAATTAACGATTAAAATTTTGTTCCAAAATGACGTGGAATTCATTGGTCTCATTAAAATTAAGTATTACTCAGTATTGCCAAGCATTCTCCACAAAAATCAAGACGAAACTATTTTTTAGTAACCCTTTTTTTATTGCTTATTTGGGTGGACGAGCTCACAGCCCATCTGGTGTTAAGTGGTTACTGGAGCCCATAGACATCCACAACGTAAATCCGCCACCCACCTTGAGAATAAGTTCTAAGGTCTCAAGTATTATAGCTGTTGTAAGATATCAGAGCTGTTTTTTTAGTGCGAAGTCACATATATAAAGATTTTCAGTATTTCGGCTTGTAGCTATGTACCTTTTCTATGTACATATCGACGCTTGAAAGGCAAATGTGATTAAGCGACAATAACTGCTTTGTAACATAAATGATAGGCAATAACCGTATTCGATGCGCAAAAAAAAATATTTCTAGGTCTATTAAAATCATTTCAATCCTACAACTACTAGCTAGATTCTACTACAACTAGATTCGTTAAAATAAATATTTTTTTTCAGGTATTTCAACTTTAAATTAGTCTACTGTAAAGTTCACGCATTGTCGCTTAGCCACGTTTGCCTTTCAAGCGTCGACATGAACCTACTTATTCGAAGGGATGGCCCGCATTCACAGATCGTCGTCGTAAGATAACTTATGCCATATTTAATTAAATTTTTGTTTTGATCAAAATACGTTGACCTTATTCACGACTATTACAAGTGATATTTGCATGTAAACAAGTTTTCGCGAAGACCTGTGGACTTCGATAAAATCTACATAACATTACTTCCCGCAGCGAGATGGCGGGCAAGTAAACTTTTGGATTCATTAAATATAAGCTTAACCAGAACAGACCCGTACTTAATTGAGATCCTGTGGACATCGGAATGTGAGTCTTGGTGGCAACACACAAGATACGTAATTCTAGGATGTAAAATAGCCAATAAATTGTGTATATTTTTTCTACAGAGTGCAACGATTATGCTCTGTAGGAAATCTAATTGTGCTAAGGTAGGTAGGTAATAGGTAGTAGTAGGTAGGTAAGCTAGGTGTGCTAATTGGAATCTCAATCTTACGTAATTAAAACGACTTTACGATTAAATCTCGCAATTTTTATTGTTTTAATATTATGTCTGGCGTTTCGAATAATACATAATCGTATATAATATATTATATCATA